CACACACACACACACACACACACACACACACACACACACACACTCGCACTCCCGCACACTCACATTTAATCGAATCTGATCTTTCTTGTTTTTTTGCTTTTGCTCAGTTGTGTTTGCTCAGACTTGGGCCTTTTTGTCGGACTGCAGATTGTATTATTCTCTGGCAAAATTGTAGTTGCTTAATGGTGTTGTTGATTCTGGTCTGGTTGTTGCTATTAGTCTCAAAATCTTTTGAATTGTGAGTTTCGAGGGAAATTTTCTCTTCGTATTCTACGGGGTTTGATGTAGATCATGGTTTGTGAACCTGTATCTGATGATGATTTGAGGATAGTTGGGGTGGGGTGTTTTCATTTCTGGCCAATGTACACTACAAATAAAACACTTCCTGCTAGCTGAAATGACTCAGTATTTCTTTCACTTGGAGATTTAGCTTTGAATGTCCTTTGCTTATTATGGCTTTTGATGCTTTGGCTGAGTTCATTGGCACCTCATTTGAAATTGCTATGGTGTGGTATCAAGCTACGGAAGCTTCACCACTCCATCACACTCTCCCATGTGATATATCGAATTGCGAACCAGTTGGCATAAGCCTTGGCTTTCCAACTCCGACAACTCGGTACCTAGACTTAACACAAGATCTAATACACACGGGCAGCTACTAGGCGAGTATGTTTTTCCCTCTCTCTTTTCTCCGCATCGACCCTTTTAAACCACCCATGATCGCATTCGTCCTTTTCGCACTCTATTCTTACGTTTGTCATAGTTTGGCAATCGGTCTGTTCTGTTGCTTTCTTGCATTTTTGGGTACCTTTTTTTTTTTTTTTTTTTTTTCCTCATTTTTGGGTACTTTAACTCTATCCTTGATCTGTGATCGTGTATTAAACCCGGTCTTTTTTTTTCGGAGTCACCGCGGGCCATCCATCCTAGCAAACCGGGCCTGGCATGCGACCCATCTTTCCTGGATGGATGTGCTGCAAAAAGGCGCCCTGATAGTTCCCAAGAGTTGTGTCAGCATGCACGCCACGACTCTGAGGAGATGGCTGGGAAACGTACCGGTGGCTTAAGATTGAGACTGGTGCCATTTCTTGTCCAAGCAGCTTGGCCTTGCTTTGCCACCCATACATTAGAGAAGATTTGTCTCCCAGGTACAGAGCTGGTTTGAGAAGGATGAATCAAAACCGGGGTGATAGTCTTCAATCGATGGGCAAGGACTTTAGTCAGGATTTTATATAGGGGATCCAATACTGAAATTGGGCACCAATTCTCCCCCTTTTTATATCCCTATACCCTTAAAATATACAGCGGTCCCACCGACAGACGCCGCCGCGGCTATTTGAACCTCGTGGGGAATTTAACCTTACCAAGCAATGGCCGTAGTGCTCCGTCAGGTGCGGAACCAGCTTATCTGCAAACTCCTTAAAGAACTCTATGGGTACACCGTCCAGGCCTGGGGACTTGTACCCTAGGAGCTGACTAATGGTGGTGTGGACTTCTTCGTGATCAATTGGAGATTCTACGTGGTGCGCCGGGTCCGGGGGGGATGCAGGAGCTCCGTTAGCGATGCGGTCGATCGTCTCACCTTTGCATCTTGGAAGAAACGGCAGGTCATTTTTCCTCGTCTTCTTGCCCCGTCTACTTTAGTGATCCATCCTCCCCTTGCCGCCTCCCTACTCACCCATTGTCGCCACTCGGCAACTAGATGGCCCCGTTTCGTCCACCATTCATCCTTTGTCTGAGTACCCACAGGTCCCTGCTCTATTTTCTTCATTCTCTGTACATACTCCCTTCCACGCGATCCCTTTTCCACCAGTCAAATTTTAATATGTGCCTCAATAAGGTGGCCATGGTTGGCATTCCACCCACCATGTTTTCCAATGGTGGGCGGGCCCCTGTTGGTCACGATAGCCATGTGTCGCAATGTTGTTGACTCGGAATTAGGCCATATACTGACTGCCATTGAAGATCCATGTCAGGAGGGTTTTTGGACCACGTTGAGGAGGGTCCTGCTATGGGACTGCTATGCGGGCAAGGGCCAAAGCATGGCAGCTTGAGACGTGTCGATGATGCACCTCAATGTTGACGGCTTGGGACGATGTGTGGGTGTCAGCCCATATCATATCCAATTTACTACGGGTTGTGGGATGAGGACCTACTCAGGTGAAAGACCTTTGGTACGGGTATATTTCTCGAAAGACATGAATCAAGCCAAGGGCAACCATCACCTTTTATAATGCAATTGCATCCAACTGTTGGGGTCTTGGTGCTCCCGAATCCACACCCGACTGCATCATGGTGTTAAAATCGCCCAGGATACGAGTGCGACTTACCTCGGGCACTATTGTAGGAGCGATTTCTCGAAAAACTTCCTTTCTACCCAATTAACCGGAGCATGTAGATTTACAATAAGGTATCGCTTGCTACCATGTTCAATCAGTGCCCAAGCAGCAAGCCCATCGTCCGTTTGTATTGAAAAACCAATCAAGGAGTTCCCCTTTAAATCCCGGTGCACATAATATTGCAACTATGCCCTTTGTCCCGTTCACTGGGGGCCGAATTTGCTGGGTTTTCCATCATACCATCCTTCCCTTTGACCCTATTGTACTAAGTAAGCACTGCATGAATAATGTGAGGTCACTTTGATAACGCTGGATGTCACAAAATTCGAAATGCTTTGTTTTTTTCTCTCCTCCGAACCGTACGTGCAAATCTTTGTTTTCTGTAGATAGAAAATATCGATTTTCTTAAGAGTCACAATTTTTCCCATCTCCCGTTTTTTTCCTTAATACTCTCCCGATATTGCCCTTGCATTTCAGGTTGCAATTATTAATCCTTCCCCCATGTGTTTGTCTCGTTGCTCTTTCTCGTAGGTGACACATTTGATAAGTAGTTTTACTATCGGCAAAGGAAGTACGCGTCGATTGTATAGCGCATGTTATACGTATGATCCCATGTTCCCTGTTCATCTTCAAGTGGCCTATGCCAGTGACGAAAGTCCTCAGAGTCTAACCTTGCCTATTAAAAAATAAGCAAAAAAGAAATATTTGAAGAAAAATAAAATATTCAAAGACCCCCCCCCCACGTCTATCCTATACCTTCCATCCCATCAATACCTCCACCCATTTTATGTTTCTCATGGTTAATATGTTAACCACTTGTCTGCTATCATGCACCCATTCAACAATTCTTACACCCTCGGATGAAAGTGTCCCAACCCCTATAGAAGGAAGGATGGCCAACCCAAAATTTGGTTGAGGAAGCGTTATGGAGTATGTTAGATGGAGGGCTGGAGGGGGAAGTCAATCCAAGCGATGAAGTCCAGGAAAAGGGGCAGGAGTAAGGGTTTGGAACCTTGCGTCATAGTGGAATGGAGAGTGGTCATATCACGGATGGTTCCAATGCGTACAAAATAATATGGGGAAAAGTATCAGACACATGAATGTCAAGCGAAGAGCGTTTTTGGTGGATAGGAAGACGAACAACAGAAAGCAGGTACGGTATGACAATCCCTAAAAGTACTTTTTCGTCGTTTGTCACGAATCGGCTCATCAAAGGGATGAAAAAAAAAATGCTATCAAAAAATAAACATACCCACGAGCTTTCACTATATCCATACAAACAAGTTATAGGATGACATGGAGGCCTATACCGCTTTGTCGTCACCCTACTCATTCACAAGGTTCATGTATAAAAAATTGTCGAACAACTTGAACCATAGCAAAATACCGTTTTTCTTATGAAGCAACTAGGAGAGACAAATGAGGACGTGTATGCGCATAAAGATATTTATTAGAATAGATCGAAGACATGTAATCCTAAAACCGGAGGAGTAAGAGGGTTTGTTTCCGTTGATGTCAGACGTTAATCGTGTGGAGAGTTTAGTTTAGATAATACCTAGACTTAACCTATATGTTACCGCTTCACAAGCTGTAGGATTAGGCGAGGCTCAGGGTAGTTCCAGATTTGTTATCGAGTACCGGCCTTGTGGGATTAGCTAGGGTCGTCGATAACTTGTATCAGGCCTTGTCTTGTAGTTGGTCATGAGGTAAGGGAGTGTATCAGGCCTGAGTGGGAAACTCATTGTGTTTTGAGATTTCACCATGATAAAATGTCAGTAACCGTTCCATTGACATTAAAAAAATCAATGTCAGAGATACTTATGAAGGCAAGTTTTTTTATCAATTGCTTGGCAATGCAAACCAAAAGAGGATTGTTCGCAGTTTTGTCAAGTGGGGCAACAAAGTATTGGATTCGAATTCAAGCTCCCGTTTGATATGAGATAGTTCAAGATCAATTGAGGAGAAATGTAAGTGGTTCCCCTGATACTTTTCTGCGGAGTCTCTCCTCGTAATTTTGTCCCTTATTTTGTTGTCCTCCAAGAGCCCTCCACTTGT